TTGCGCCGCCTGGACATACCATTGCTTACAAAAAATTGAATAATTTATCTAAAAATAAAATTTAGGATTTGCGGTTTATTCTATAGAAAGAAAAGATTATGATAACTAAATATTTCAAAATTCATTGACGTACCTAGAGTGGGTTTTAATTTTATAGCGCTAGTCCACGAATGTTTTGATACCCCTCGTATTCATCATTCAGAATTTAATTAAATAAAACATTAATTTGGAACTCATGTGTATTAAAAATTTTAGATCATTTTTTTTATCTTAAAATTTTTGGAAGTCATTGAAAAATATATAACTTTTATAACTTTTATTTTCAATAAAAAGCCCCCCTTCTTTCAAAATTTTTTTTATTTCATTTTTTTTTTTTATTTTTTTACTTTTCGGGTTTTGCTTTGAACTGATAATTTAATTCTTAGTGGCTTCATATTGTCCAAACTTGATGAGTTCAAATAAAATAATGTCCATTCAGACCATTCACTTTTCCCCATCATTCCTTTTAATTTCGTCGCTGGCGTGGCGCAGTGGATAGAGCGAATCATACTATAGACGTGGAGACCTGTCCTTCGGATAAAACCGCATAAACCGAGGTCCTGTATCGAAGTAATGAGTAAATGTTGGTACAAAAAATATCCCTTATTGCTTAATGGCCCTGAGTGCCGAGTATATGACGAAATTTGCAGCACTCCACTGCCAAATGATGGCGTCACCATATGAGTCAAAATTCTCAATAGGGACGATAATATTCAATCAATCAATCTTTCAATTCATTCTATAAATAATTGTAGAGATAATTGTCCTTATAGAACTAAAGTGCATTTAGAGGGGTTTTCTTTACTGTTCAAATATAGCACCCGGTAATTTGCATATCTTTATATTTAAAAATGGATCTCATAAACACGTCTCCAATGTAAGTTTTAATTTGTATTGTACTTAAGGATGACGTTTACTCAGGTTTCAGAAATCAGAAAGGACATTTTATAAAATATAATATATCAAATAAAAAATTGTTCTAAATGGATAAAATAAATAAATAAATAAATAAAGTTTTATCTCAATATCAATTAAAAAATTTTATATGTTAGTACTTGAAGAAAATATACAGGAACAAAACTCAATGAATGGCTGTGCAGAGGAAATTCGGACTAAATATTTTAATTTTTCATTTTTGTAAACAAAATTTATTTCTTGCAAAATTAATCACAAAGTAAAGGTTACAAGTATTTCAAGACATCATTTTGCAAATATTGTATGTATTTAAGCTCATAAATTATTTCAAATAAATAAATGCTATGAAATAAAGAAATTCAAAATTATGTACAAAAACCACTCCAGACAACATTTCTCAATAATTTGATCATTGACCCCATATAATATTAATACCATGAGGATGAGGGCAACAAAAGTAACCTTAGGCTATAAATAATTTAGAGTTCTTATCAGTCAGATTTTTGTAATATTTGATTAAAAATAGGAAAAAAAATATAAAAATGACAGAGGATATTCGGACTGTAATATTTATCACGTTTATGGCCCAAACTATACTCATTTCTTTATATAGAGCAACTCTGTTCCATTGCTATTATATTTTATTATTTAAACAGTTTTGTTGCTTGTAATATTTTGTGAGTGAAGAAAAAAATGGTCATAGTGTGAAAAATTTCCCGAGAAATATTCAGGGGCCACCAGCATGAACACGAGGTCATTGACCTAGTAATTTAAAATTGAAATATAACACAAGAATCATAGGTGTACAATGTGCAATAGCTGGTTTTTCGTTCTTATCAGTGGAATTTTTAGTCATCTGAGTAAAGGTATACCTTAAAATGTCTGTAGTTTGTATATCATTCAGTAAATGCCATGATGCATTGATTAACTTTCTGTACAATTAACATATGTGTGTTTATTTCTATCTCATTCTTTGTAAATTATAAGCTGAAAACAAATCATGTATGGGGTACATGTTAAACCTATTTTACCTCAACTTTGAAAGTAAAATGAATTTTTGAAAATTTAGAATAAAATATAAATGAGCTTAATATATGATCATCGTAATTATGTTACTATTCAGTGGCGTATATTCCATATAGGCAAAAAGGCTGTAGCTTACACATCATTTTCTCGAGAATAAAAATTCGATTGAATAAAGGGGGTGGGTAGATAAGAAATCGTACCTTTCATTAAGGTAGTCCGATCCTCAGGTTTGTAAACTTTGTAGTTAATTTATCATAAATACTCATAAAAGTATCTCTGAAGCCAAAAATAAATGTAAATTTATCCACATAATTTTTTAAAGTTGAAAATTAAAGCTTATCATATTACATAGGGAAAATTGTCAAAATCTCCAATATTTTTGTAGAAAAAGCGAATTGAAATATCAGCAATGCATTTTCCAATTGCAAATGATGAACAAATATAATTTTGGTTAAAAATGATGGGTATCCGGGCATTCAGAGAAAATGTCATGAGTTTTATACTTATTTGGTATTTTTTTCTTCTGTTTCCGTCATGTATTCTATAATACATATTGTAAAAGGCTTTTCCTTTCATTGCAAGACACCATAAATCACATTATTTCTAATCATGCTAATAAGCAATGGTATCGAAGGATGGATTCAAGAAATATCTTATTTCTTGAGAACTGCATTATTTTTTTCCTTTTATAGGGTACAAATGTCAACTTTTATAGGACATTTGCTAAGACTTCCAAAAACCCTGAATCTTATAAAGATGAATAAAATGAAAATTGTTGCCTGAAAAACTTCGTTTTCAAGCTTCATTTTGATGCATTTCAAATTTTATGTTAATTTTTGGAGTTATCCTTCCTGGCTGAGAATCGGATATCCTAAAAATTTATATCCTTTTTTGCGAATGCCAAAAAAAAGAATTCTTTGCAATCTGCACATTTATACCTAACCGATTATGTTAAATTCAAGGACAAAAATATTCCCTTATCTTGAACTTTTTAAAGCCAAAGTTCAAGTGTTATTATTAATAAATCTGTATCAGGAAATTTCATCAAAAGCAACAGGAGTCCATAATAAGTACAGGAAACGAAATTGCTAACTTAAGTTATATTTGGTAAGTAGGAAATTCAACGTATTGATCGAATTTGATTATTCAGAAATGAATTTTCCATATTTTCTAAGCAGTGTTAAGGGATACGTTAGGAGTTCTCAGTTTTGTTAAGGTTTCATATCCCTCTGATAAGTGAGATAACTTTCCTTGAAATACAATGGATTATCTTGTCAGAATGTACTGAGTTTTTTTAATTAAGACCATATTTATAGTCAACTCAGACAAATGGAAACAAAGTAAATGTATTGAATTCTAGGTTCTTTTGCCAATATTTTCATTAATTATCAATTATAGTTTAACTAAAACATTTATACTTAGATTTTTAAACTGTGGAATTCAGATATTTCTTATCTCTTAAGATATGTCTTTTAATTGTTTCATAAATTTCAGATGCAGATTTGTTTATAAACACAGTTAATATTTCGTTTTACTAAAATATTTTCAAGAACGATAATGGAAAGATACATGTAACTAGTTGATGGTTGCATATTATTTTAAAAGCACAGAAAAAATGTTATATTCTTATTTTATTTTGATTTCAAAAGCAATTCTTCATTATATTTTCTAATCAGAAATAGATAGGTATGACATTATTTTCATATATACCTCATACTTTTAATTTTATTTTGAGATAAAAAATTATTGATATTTTTAATCAAAATTTATTCAAATCATGATTAGGCATAATATTCATTTCTGAAATAGTAAGCAACGCTTCATTCTACAAACTTTTTTTTCCATTTGAATCTAATGCTATTGTTATTGATGAAAATCAATGTTTGGAATTTAAAAAAAAAATGTGAAATTAGGAGCAGAGGGATATTTCACTTAATTGCCAGACGATGCGTTCCTAGAAGATATATTTTCCCCAAGAATTTGTCTTTGTAATCTAAATACTTAAACAGGTTTCCTCACAAAAAGGGGGACCTTTCCAGACATTTGGATACGATATCATAGAGTGATATTTCTGAATATATAATCCATATGGGTAATCATCTGAATGTATGGCCTATATCAGAATGTTTGATGTACTTGTATATTAAAGACATTATAAAAACAATGTAGAAATCACAAGAGAAGGACAAAAATTCATACTTTTTTAGGTAATACCAAGATTAACGAAAGCTGTATTTGAGGAACTTGTCGTCTGCATATCACAATATAACTGAACTGTAAATGCATGTATATATCTACAGAATTATTATCACTGGTCAAATTAAAATTCTAGATATCTGAGTTTGTACAAATGCTCCCTTTGAATCCCCACCACAAAATAAACATAGAAAGAAAGCTCCTTGTTTACCCACACTTTCCACCTCAGGTTAATTCTCTGACTTCACTTTCCACCTCAGGTTAATTCTCCGACTTCACATTCCACCTCAGGTTAATTCTTTGACTTCACACTAGTCTACACATACGCAGAAAAGAACATACGCCACTGCTATTGAATGATTTACTAAAATGACATTTATATATGGTGTATACCGGTGTCATATATATCAGAACATAAAAAATCTTTCTTATTCATCATTAGAAAGACAGCCCTACAGCATATGTCTGAGTCAGTGTTTATGGGACTGTGTGATAAACTTGGAACTTCACAACTGGTGGCCATGAGGAGAGATGTGATAGACATCAGTGATATGGTGATCAATCAAGTGAGAACAAGTGATGATGTCAGTTTGATGCAGAGCGGAAGTGAGAAAGAAGGATTTAGACTGAAGAAATCAGACATAGACTGTATGTTGTGGCCAAATAATCACCGTGTTATCTGGGAATTATCTCAGTCTCAGTATTACAACACACAGAGCCAAACACTGATCCTCTGTGACTGTTCCGATAATCCACCAGGATTTACTTTGTTATACTTACTGTCTCAAAGCAGTAACAGAAATGTCCAGCGAGCATGTGTTAGAATGAATAACAGGAATAATATCTCCAGCTCAAAATACACAAAGATTCCGTGCTCGGTTGCCGATTTTCCTGACCCCAGTCCACATGGACCCTGTCTCAGTGGAGTTTATTTTGGTGGTAAAGAATATGATTATGCCTACTGCTTTGTTGTGACTTTTGGCCTCCATCTGCCTCCTCATGGATAGACAGATGTCACTCACGGCCACAGCCTCATGCTGTTGATGAGATAGTAAAGAATGGATGCCACTTTGTAGCAATAGGACATACACTAGGACACCATGTGCACAATGAATGGAGAATTTCTTTCTCTCTTGCAGAACACAAACTTATGTGTGCTATGAATCATTGTCAATTCTTAACTTATGGTTTGCTTAAATTGTTCTTGACAGAAATAATTAACAATGAACTAGGTGATGGTGATAAATTACTGTGTTCCTATCATATGAAAACAGCAGTTTTCTGGATGATTCAACAAAATACATTACACCATTGGTGTCCACAAACTCTCCTAGAGTGTTTCAGGAAATGCTTCAAGCTGATCCTTAAGTGGGTATATGAGGGGGTCTGTCCTAACTTCTTCATTCCCCAAAATAACATGTTTCTGAGTAAGGTCCATGGTGAAGCACAACATCAGCTATATTTAAGACTGTATGGGTTGTATGAAAAAGGTTTATTATTCCTGCTACACAGTCCATCCATTAGGTCTTCTATAAGAAAGGTCCTTCTCTACCCCAACCTCTCCATATGTACAGATGAGAATAATGTGATATCTGAGATTAAGTTTGATAAAGATCTCTTTGAAGAGATACACGCATATGACGCAATTTCCACTCCAAACCTAGAAACATGTATGAGGTCTCTACGTACAATAGCACAAATCATAGGCTCACTTCTCCTTACACAATATCAAGTCACATTGTTACAGAAACTTACAGCTAATGTTCTTCAGGGAACTGCTTTTATATTTTACATGGAAACTTACACATGTAAAAACAAACTGAGGTATAGAGCGGACAAAATCTCCTGTCACATGCTGAAATTAGCAGCCAAGTTTGGTTTTGTTACTGACATGATGTACATAGCCATGTATTATTACAAGACACTTAGATACAAGGAGACTTTGAATATTATAGAGATAATCAAGGTCAAGCTAACAAAGCCTTGTGTGATGTTTAGGTTAAATGTAGATACAGAGATGTATACTGAGGCTGTAGGGGGACAGTCCTGGTCTACAAAGATGAGACAGGCTGTAGCAATGAATATCCATCTTGGCCAACAAATGTATTACATCAATGAGTTAATACCAGAACAACATTCTGGTCTACAGAACGATAGATCAGATTTATTCATCCCACCATTTGTTCTGTTATATATGTTAGAAATCTTGTGCTACAATCATGTAGACACAATGAGAGTACAAACAGCTCTAGATGATCTACAGACCCTAGTTCACTATGATCAAGGACAGTTAATAAATTCATGTGGAAGAGACATATCCTGGCAGATTCTGGGGATCTGTCAACAGGTGACAGGGAACCTCCGGGCTGCTTTATACTCATACCAACAATCTCTCCGACAAATACCATTCCACAAAATACACACAGCTACAGAAGTGAGAATACAGTTTTCACTAACAAAGCTAAATTAGTGAAAGAAATCAAAGACTTTTGTAGAATTCCATTTGGTAGAATTTATAATGTGAATATTTCTTCTCTACAATATTTTCTGAATGACCATGCATTTAATTGAATTACAAGTCACAAATCATTTAAAAATAAAGAAGTTACGCAAACCTTTGTGTACAAATAGAAAATGAAATACACTTCCAGAAATCTGATTGTTACATTGTTATTTTTTCTATTTATATCCACTTAAATATAAACTCTAATATTACTGTTTTGTAAAATGCATTTTAATTGGCTAATACAATGGCGTTTTCGGTAGTAAAATGAACATTAACGAGAGTGAAAGCTTTTGTTTGTGACATCACAATAGAGGGATGTAAAACACTACACCCCTTGATGTATTTAATCTAACAAACGTCAACAAAATAAGACGTAAACATCAAACAAATTGCATAAATTGCATAAGAATAGGAATGTCACCCTCTTCCACAATTTTGAAAGAAGCAATCTTGCTCATAATAAATGTTTTATTAACACCAAGGAGCAGATTTCAAAGCATGAATTCAATTTAAGTATATGATTAGTGCCCCCTCTATGGTATCCCTGACCCAGGGACCTAGAATTTCAAAATTCCTGAAGAAACACTCTTGCTCATCATAACCAAATACATGTTTTAGGTAGTTCATCTGCTTAATACCCAGGAACAGAGGGGAGATTTTTAAAAAAAAATTTCATTTTCAATTTATAAAGCCCCGTCCTAACACCAGAACCCGACCCGGGGCCATGAAATTCACAGTTTTAGAAGACGCACCCTTTCTCATCATAATTATATAATCATTTTGGTTAATACCACGGAGCAGAGAGGATTTTTAAAGAATTGATGCATTTCACAATATAATCAATAGAGTCCTGCCCTAACACCAGAACCCCTCACCTTGGGGCCATAAAATTCACAATTTTGGAAGATGCATCCAGGTCCTTATTATTACTAGATCGTGTATACATTAAGTTTCTTGTTTAATCCCAATCGAAGAGAAGAAGTCTTTCAAAGAAATAATGCATTTTCAATGTATTTTCTATATATAGGCCCACCATAGCACAAGAACCCTTGATCATGGGGCCATGCATTTCAAAATTATGATAGAGGACCCAATGCTTATTACAATAATACTAACATTTTGACCCACCCCTTAAGCCCTGTGAAGAAAGAGGGGACGGGGACCATGAACTTCACTAATTTTGTTTCCTTTTATCTACAGATGTTTTATGCTAAAATTGGTGAAGCGGTTGCAGAGAGGAAGCTGATAATGTTCAAATGTTAACGCACAACGCACCACAACGTACTAGAGGCCCATGGGCCTTATAGGTCACCTGTGTATCATGTAACAATTTTGCAATAATTGAATGAAACATATGGAGATAACGAACAGTATTCAATCTCAAAAGTCCATAAAATAGGAGCAGAGTAAACACGGGCCTTCGAAATGTCCGAGGTAGGGTAAGGTGCCATGGAGGAGTGAGCATCCCATGCAGACGTGTCACAACCGCCATGTGTTCCTCGTAATGACCAGGAAATAACGGGAAAAATCTGTCGTCAAGTCAGTTTATAAGTAATGGACTAACGATTAGTATGAAAAACGTCAGTCAGTTGACTCAGTGATAAATTGAATTTGCTGACAAATTCATTGTATCTGCAATAGAACTTACGAAATGATGATTTTAAACGAGACTGCTGATTGTTTTGTTTCATCAACTTGCTTGTCAATATTTACCTCGTTTTAGAAATTGTTCATATGTAGAGCATGTACTTGCTTATCGAATCAACTGAGATATATATATACTCCGTACGCAGGTGATGACGGTATATTGCTGCATAAATAATGGAAGTTGACAATAGAAAAGTTAGTCATCACGTTTATCATATATCTTGCTTCGCAGCACTGTTAAGGCTGACTATGAGAAATTAACGAAAAATAGAAGAGCAAAAACGGGAATTGTTTTTAATACTGAATTTATTTTTATTCAGCTTATCATTACAGAACTTAAATACGTATGGAAATGGCATAATATAACCCACTCTGTACTGGATGAAGTTTGGTCTTATCGATGGAAGTCACGTGATAACTGCATAGTACGTGTACTGAATGTAGGTCATTTACAAAGAAGACGGTACAGTTTGAGCTTTATTGTGCCCTAAAAATTCAATGTTCTTAAAAAGTTATAAAATTGGCTTTAACAATAGTTGAGTAGATGAATATGATAAATCATAAAAGAATATGGCATGAAGAAGGGCCATTCTTGAAATATGATGTCATTAATTTGGTATATTTTTAAGTTTTATGCAGAAAAGCTTCAAAATTACTCGTTTTTCCGCTAATTTTCCTTTAGAAAATAGTGTCTGCCACCGTCGCCCGCTTTAATTTTTGGATATATTGTGCAAACTGCTATGAAAAATCACATAACTCAAAATCTTTCCGGGCGACGGTGGCAGAGTATTTTTCTGAAAGAAAATTCCACTGAAAATTGATGTCTTTTGCAACTTTTAAAGAAAATACGGGAAAATGCACAAGTTAATAACGTCACAATTAGCATTTAGGAGGTCATATGAGAAAATCCATTTGCGTATTCTTACTGCAGAGAATTCCTACGATTCAGAAAGAATGAATTTTAATTTCTTATATCACTTTTTAAAAAATAGGGCATAATTTGTAATGAAACTGTACCTTCTTCTTTCAAAATCACAAGGGCATACCCTATTTGAAATTGAAAAATTCAAACTATTAATTTCTTCTGTATATTTTGTACTTTGCGGAAAGTTCTGCTGATTTGATAGGAATTCTCGTTTTGGTAGTTAAAATTTCAAGTAAATAGGTCAATGTCGAAATATAATTAACTTTAACCAAATATTTTGTGTTCCTATATAGTCACGCTCTCGATTTAAAGAAAGCTGCAGCACTTTTCAAGTTAAAGAACATATCCTTTTTTCATAATGAAAAAATGGTTAAGATCTATTTAGTGTATGTCTATGGGAAAGAAGGATTTAATGAGGCACCTCGATGTAAAATATACGTAACCTGTTCATAAAAAGACAACAAAATTATTTATATACATTCTCTCCATAGTTAGTGAATAATCGCCCTAAACAAAAGTTATACATTGGTATTAAAAGCCTATTTAAAACCTGTAAATAATATTCTGTGTTATAAAAAAAACACATTTTCTTTGCTAAATCTGCCTCTCACAGTATATGAAATATGTCATTTTTACCAAAATGACATCATGATTGACAAGTCCATCGAGATCAGTGATTTGTTTATAACCAGCTGTATAGGATTTGACCAGCAACTTTTAAATGCATTGATATAAGTTTTATTGTTGTTTATTTTTTTTTTATCAAAAATTGTTTTAGAAGATGTGTACAAATCAATCCATTTATCATGTTTATTGACATTAAAAAA